TTTTTTTATTTTTCTTTAGCCTGCTTATCGATTTCATTCGATTGCAAACCTTTCACAGCGCCAATTAAATTGTCAATTTTTGGTGTTGCTTTTCGAACTGTCAATTAAGAGCAATGCACTAAATTACAAATTTAATTATTTCTTTGTTCCCAATGTAATTATTGTTATTTTTGTTTGCGACGTATTGAGCTTTTTTTTGCATTCTTTATTTTTGTTCTTTCTTTTAATTTTGTTTCACAAATTTTTAATGACTTTGTTGCGCAGTTTCTACTTCTCGTTCTACACTCAAAGTTGCAGCGAAACTGTCATTCAGTCATCTTGTTTTTAGACTCGGTTCATGTTATTTGGGAGCTACTTGACCTAGCGTTAGCGGTTGTGCGTTTAGTGGGCTCGTATTTTATATATTTTTCGTTTTATTCTCTTTTTTTAGTTGCTTAAGCACTAAGTCTAGTCTGGTCTTCACCGTAACAAGCCGCAGACACAAGGTGGTCTTACCAAAGTTAGTTGCGTTTTTAGACAATATTTGTTTTTGTTTTATTTCTAATTTTTAGCTCATTTTAGCTCGCTTTGGTCATTGATTACAGTTAGACATCAAATTTGGTTAAGGTGTACTAAATTCCAATGTGGTTATGAAAGACAACATTTGAAAGATTGGATAATTTACAAAAATAGTATAACACTTCATAAATTGGAAGTGATTGGTGTCAAATATTAGCAGTAACAAATTACTTTAGAAGATTTGGTACAGATTTAGCGCTAAAACATTGCAAGAAATATTAGAATTGGAAAACTCTGATCTTTCGAGGAACTAAACCAAAGTATTCCAAGTAAGAGTTCAAACCTGCACTGTTCTTTCAACATATGTACATCATTTAGGATTATAAAGAGTGTTTCTAGAGGTATGGCACCATAGAATTTACCAATATTTTGACATTTACTATTTAAATAGAAGTTAAGGCTTTTAAATACCGTGATTGGACCAATGCAACACTCTTCCTACCATAGCCAGCCTTATCACCTACCCAATTGACAGAACTACGAACTATTTAGCATAAAGATGATTGATATTTGTTAAGCTATTTTGACAGCTATTCCACTAGGAATCTCTATATACCGCTATTTTATTTGTCTACGAATCTACATATGGTATCTGCGCCATATATCCAAGCAGTTTTTGTCTGAAGAACTTTCTGGGTAATCAACTAGCTGATCTCTGAGAGAAAAAAAAAAACCTAACCAATTATAATGGATATTTCCCACAATAGTTTGTATTGAGATTTGCGTTCACGCAAAGTTCACTGCCTTCCTAATGTTTTACAACAACTCTCAAGCAAACACATTTCGATAAAAAGCTTCTTCTGCCGCTCACTTTAGAGCGTTGATATCATTGCCCTTTCGTTACACTTCGCAATTGAGCTTTGCACAAAATGAAAGCGAAACCGATTGTTTGCAATAAACTATTTCCATTCAACTTTGACGCGCTTGAATGCCAAACAAAAGCAAACGAAACATTTTGATTGCCACCCACACAAAGCAAATCGCCGAAAACAACAACAATAGCAGCAAAGAAAATTTCGAAGTTAACTGCTGAAGCACAATAAAGATCCGACCAGACAATGACGTTACACCCGAGCATATTCGCCAGCGACAATAGATTGCGGCGGGCCACACATGACTACACACTTAAACGGTATTACAGATTTGATATTTGTAGGTGTGTATGTGTGTGTGTGTGAGTTTTGCAGGCACTGCATATGCGCGTTGATCTTTAGTGATCTTTGCAATAGAGTCGTGTTTCGGCTGGAGGCAATTTGTGTGCTCATACATACATACATTTACATAATTTCATTTAACCGACACGAGTGAGAATTTCGAATTATATTGTATTGAATGAATGCTGACAAAGGCGCAAATAAAAGCATCGCGCTGCAAAAAAATCTCACAAAAATTTGTTTAAGCGCACATTTTTTACATTTGCAGGTCTACGTCGAGCTTGAGTCTGTGTCGAAATTCGTTTCAGACGCTTCATTTTCAGTATCAATTCTACAATACGTTGTGACGGTAGAAACACTAACGACGCCGACGACGTCGACGAATTTCAACGAAAATTTACTGTGTTTACGCGAATTGTTTTGGCAATATCGACAAGTGAATAAAACTTGAATAACGAAAAAACGCTAATAAAAAATTACAAAACAAAAATAGATAATTATAAAAAAAAGTGACCGAAGTGAAAACGATTTGGAAAATGTGTAAAAAAGTTAACTGAAATTGATTTAAATAAATTATTATAATATTTTATACAAACAAGTTTAATAAAGGCAGCAAATACGTGTGGGTCTTCAATACACAGAAATCGGCTGGGGACAGTAGCTACAGAAATACATGTATGTATGGAAGTATGTAAAGATTAAAAGATAAACAAAAGATATAAATTACAATAAATTATAACTATATACAAACACATATTCTTACAAGTAGTGTAGCAAAGTAAACAAGTTAGCAGTACAAGCTTGTATTCAGTTAAACAGGGTGGACAAAAACCTTTTTACTATCAAAAAAAAAATCATTACATTGATAAATTAGATATGAACGGATATTGCATTTAAAAAACAAAAACACACAAAGATTTTTATTGCAAATTATTTCACCCTTCTAACTTCCTTCAAGCGTAGCCTGCAACTGATTCATCCTCTTTTGTTTTATCGGTATATCTGCTTTAACGGTTGGATAAAGAGATGTTTATTTTGGGTTCAGACACTGATTCTCCAAGAGCGCTCTATATCGCTGCAATGACTTCTTCCTTTGTCGCTAGGGTTTCAAGCTCGCTACTGTGGCCTTTGGTTTAAGGTTTGTTACTTATGTGATCGCTTTAAAATTTTGAAGAAATTCGGCAAGACCAGTCGGCAAGACCCTTTTTTAACTTCAGTAAAAGTGCGCCTGCTGTAGTTTTCCATATTCCCCTTATATTCACTTCTGCTTTTTAAACTCCTTTTGATATCTCTCAGAATATCTGCGTAGCTGTTCCCTTTTATTAGCTTTATAATAACTGCTTCCGATTATCTTTTCGCCTTCTTTTTTTATTAAACTTTTTTGTTGGTTTTCCTGAAGCATCAGTTATTGAGGTGCTTTTTATCGATTTTTGACGCTAATCGGGCTTCCTCGGCATTACAGTTTTTTACTGTTCGGCTTTTCTATTTCGGAAATGCGCGACAGAACGTGTTTTCGCAGAACTAATGACAATTCGTTTAGATGTGGTGGCCTGGGGCGTAGCCGTTGGATGTTGGTTTCAACTATAGGTTGCAGTTTCTTCTTGGACAACATCATCGCTGCGTCGTTTTTTACGTCAAGCCTGACGTTTTTCTATTTTGCCATTGCCTGCTTCATTTTTTGGACAATCCTTCTATATTTTTCGATGAACTCATCCTCTGCCAGTCGCATTTTGTATACAAACTCCTGTCTTAAGGACTTCTGTAGAATGGAGGTGGTTTTCGCCGATATTGGGGTATTGTGTTTCGTCAAGGAGCTTGCCAGGTTTGCTCCTGAGATCGTGGATGTGGACTCGGTCAACACCATGTTTTCTTGGCGGGTGTTCGCCCTCTTTTGTAACACTAGTGATCGAAGTTTTTCCAGTATACCTTTATTAAAATCTTACTCTTCTCAATTCTGATGGGCGCGAGTTCGGAGTAGTTCCCTCAACGCGTTTATACAAATGCAAGCAATTGGAAATATTTGTATATCGGTTTCCATTGTGGTGTGCCGCATCGCTCTCTCTCTCTCTCCCATGGATAGGTATTCACTCGAATAATCTATTCATAACCTTTCCTTTTTATTCTATTATCTATTCATAACGGAACCTTTCTTTCCTGTCGCTCTTAGTCAGCGGCTGCTTATTGGGTATTCACAGCTAACCTAAGATATTAGGCCGTCTACAGTTCACCTGTAACCCTTGGTAGCCTGAGTTTAGTCATCCTGAGCCTTTCTTAATGTAACCTTTATAACAAGTTAATACTTCAAGGCTTGATCAGAAACATTTTTCAAGTATTATTACTAGAAACATAGATGATGGAATTAATTTTGAAAATGTCGGATTAATACAAACGGATTACGCGAAACAACGTTTTACCGTTCGTACCGTTCACATTGTGAATAAAAATCAACACTATATAATCGCAAAGACTAACTAATAATTTTCATAAACACAAACAGGAAACCTTAAACTAGAGTTTATGACACAAGGGCTTTATATAAAAAAATTTCGAAATTTTCTTAGGAAAAATAACAAAAGAATTGAAATATATCACTTTTAAAACAGTAGATAGCAGTGACTTGTTTAATTTTTAATTTATTGTATGTAGCTTTTTCTGTGCCACTTCGTCTATTTTCTGTGCAATCAAGCGCCGTCTCATTTATTTATTATTTATAATTTTTGCATTTTTTCATTGCGAACTTTGACGTTTGCCGTTTTCTTCATTGTTTCATTGTTGTTGTTGTGAGCTGAGAAGATTGTTTGCAATTAACAAACAAAAAATATGATAGCATTCAGTATATTATGAAATGATTTATGAGTACTCAGAAAAAATATTAATGATGCAAATAAAATATAGAAAATTAGGTAACAATGGTGTATTAAAAAAACAATGGTGTTAAAAAAGTTATGCAAAATTTCAACAAATATGATGGTGATTGAAAAAAAAAAAATTATTCAAAAACAAAAAAAAATATTTTCCTCTCAGCCGAAATGTCAACCGACAAACCGCGGTAAAGGTGAGTGAAGTGAGTTTCGGCGAACGTTATAATAGAGTAAAGCATTGAACTGGCGAACAAAATTTTCCTAATGTTTGAAATTTTGATGTAACCAGTGAGGCATATTTGATTTCAATTAGAAGAAACATTTATTTAAATTAAAATAAGATTTCTTATACTCCAATTATATTAGTGTTGTTAATAAAAATATTACAAAGCCACTCACCCAAATTTTATTTTTCTTTTAATTGCAGTTCCAAATGTAAAATTGGCGTAAATATTGATTCGCATATGTTACTTGTGTTCATATGGACTAAAGAATACATGTACTGTGCATATAAAAAGTAAGCAACACTCAACGATAAACACGCGAGCAATAAAATGCACGCATGCGCGCTGAAACAACACGAAACAACGCAAGCAAAAGCTGTAAAAAATGAAATTAAGAAAAATATAAAATTTGCATATGAATTTGCAAAGAATTTATGAAACTTGTACGAGCATACTCAAAACTGTTGTAAAACCTTCCTGCACATAACAAACAAAAAATCTGCATGCCGATGAGCAAATCTAAAATTTTGGGAAATATGAAAACGCAACAGTGTTTTGAAAATACATGTAACATATTGCTAACTTGCTTTAAACATAGAAAATTTTTTTCGTCTTTAACGGGAAAATTTTTGGAATTTTTTTCTTTTTTATTTGTGCCTAAGGAATCACTCACCGTGCATAGTGATTATCGCGTGTTGAAATGCCTGAAAATATCCAAAAAAAAATTAAATTAAAATCGTTGAAAAAAGTGCAAAAATTGGGAAGCATATGTTAATTATATGTTTCGAAAGCCAGTGAAAATCCTTGTGCAAGTAAAAGTAGCAGTTAGACGCGCCAAAGAAAGCAATTAAAAATCAGCAATCTAGCAATTAGAGACAGGCAATGATGGAATTTTGCAGAAATTAAGTCAACAGTGAAGTTAAAACACGAATGCGACTAATTATAATTGCCTAATGCAGAAAATATTTTTGCGAATGGTACAAGATGTTGCAAGCTGATCGCGAGATCGCGTGTACTTTACCAGCTAGCACCAATTTATAATATTTCCCGTCCGCCACAAACTTGCATTGTCTGTTGCTGATGAACACGTGATTGATTTCAGCGAACTGATTGCAATGTGGAATTAACGAGTGATTGCACACGAAAATTTAATCTTTTGCGGCAAATTTGCATTAGTGCGCGTGTTGAAAACTTGTTCTTTTTTTGAATTACCAAAAATAAATATTTAATGTCCATAGCCAATAATATAAGCAAGTGAAATTGGAATGAAAAGTAAAAAATTTTAATTTACCGTGTAATTTTTTTCAGTGTAAAAAACACAGTATAAAACCTTAAGTCTTAAATACATATTTAAAATAAATTATTAATAATAGAAAAGTAGTGTTAAAATGGAAACGGCTAATGCACCCATGCTTACCGCCACTGCTGCGGTGGCCGCAACGCCTACGAAGCCATTAAAAACCATAGCAGCAGCCACAGCAGCTGCCGCCGTCACAGCAGCAGAAGCAGCAACAACTACACAACCATTTAGTGATTTAGCCGCCTCAGTGGGAATACATACCACGTCCACACAAACACCAACAGCAATTCTATCGCCCACAATACCAATTGCCATGGCGACTGCAACAGCTGCCACTTCTTCTCCAACACCATCACCATCGTCGGCATTCACAGCATACGCCACCACTCAAGCGCTGTTGCAGTTGCCATTGGAATTGCAGCAGACATTGGCGAGCGCTGCCGCTGTGGCCGGTTACTTACCATCCACGTATCTCATGGATTTATGTGAGTACCAATTGAATATTCAATAGAAATAAGACGCAAAGGCACTTTGATAGCCTTACCTTGTTTCATATTTCTTACACATAATTAATTTAAACGCTTAGTGACAGTTGCATTAGTGACGCTAATATGGATAGATGACATTGCAGTATCGATAAATCGATAACGAGGAGTTTGTGTATGATTCGTTAACGAATTACTAAACTACGTAATGTACGTTTTGCTTTTAATGTAAAACTTCATTTTAAAAATCATTTTAAAAAAATATGGAGGTATATAAATGTAAAAACTAGTTTTGATATAGAAAACAATTTCAACAATAAATTAATTTTCTTCTAACAAACATGAATTTTAATTTTACAAACTAAGTTAAATATATAAAACAATTTTTCATTTCATAAATTTTAAAATGATTTTTAATTTGAATGTAGTTCAGCCATTATGCTAAATTTTTAAGGAAAATTAAAAATAATATTTTATTAAGTAAGTAAATAATATTAAAAATAAATTTCATTCATGAAAATTTTTCAATTGAAAAATAAATTAATTTAAATTAAAACCTTTTGCTAAAAAAATTCTAATTAATAAAAGTTTTAGTTTATAAAAATATCTTTAATTATTTTAAATTTAAAGCAATTTATTTTCAAAAATACATTCTAATTTTAAAATATATATAAATTTAGTTCAGGAAATATTAAACATACATTTTTAAGGAAAATTAAAAATATTACATAAATTTATATTCATAAATTTAAAAAAATTAAGTATTAAATTAAAAAATAAATGTCAATTAACATACAATCTAAAAACAGATTTATAAAATGAAAATAATTTTGAATTAAAAAAATATATATACAATTATTATTACTGAAAAATACATTATAATTCAAAAAAAATGTATGAAAAATCAAATAATATTAATTAAAATAAATTAATAATTAAAAAATAAATAAGATTAATTAAATTATTTTCGATATTTGTGTTAATCACTTCAAATACCTTGCAGGCACATAAGCATTCACTTTCTTTAATTTGTCTACTTCCGCCCCTTTTAATTTGAAAGTATTAACTCCATCCAAACAAAGAAAAAGAGAATAAAAATAAAATGTTAAAAAGCACAAAATTTTTCTCACATCAACGCTTTATCAATTAATTAACTGATGTACGTAAGCAGGCTACGAGAGTAATGCAAATTCTGCCCTTCCACTGGAATTGTATGTGCATACATACATATGTACGTATTTTCATACATACTCGAATGTGTGCGTAAGGCCGAAATCAACGCTAATATTCCAAATTACTTTTGCAAATTAAGAACATAAATAAAATTTCTTTTTCTTTGTTGCTTTTCATGGCTATTCTATCATGACATCAGCCAACAGCTTGAAGTTTGGCAGTCAAAAGTCAAAGCAGAAAATAGCAATCAATTTGCAAATATGTAAATTCACAATATGATTTTATGTATTAGCAGCGTGGCGAACGCAGGAACATGTGCGAAAAATATAGAAAAAAAGTGTGTGTTGCAAAAAACATATAATATAAGTTTTTATTAGTCAAAGCGCGTGAGCTAAATTAATTATTAGACAAGCTCAACTAATTTCATTTATGAGTATAATTAATAAATTTAAAATTGTGAATGGCTATACTAACTCTATAAATTACATGAAACACGCTGTACCTTCTCTTAACTATTTTAAGAGACTCTTGTAGAAAACCTTATAAAAATGTAATTTCGTTTGCCGAACCAAACCCACAAGGATGTTAAACTAATATGATTCAGATTGTCGTGAACTTAGAAGATAACAATGTACAAGTATTATAATTGCAATGTACATTAGGCAGGTCATCCAGTTCAAAGGCCACCCTTGACAATTATAAATTTTTAGGAAATCGTATGTTTTATTGTCGCTGGAATTAAGCATTCTAAACTGTGACAAATACGATAAAACTCGAATGACACTTGAGTTGACACCACAGAAATATGAAATATGTATATATATTATATAAAACTATTTATATAAAAATAATATATATTCAAAGCACGAATATTAACAGCAAATTCTGTTGAATATACCAAAAAGAAACTTCCCAAATTCAAATCAAACAAAAAGTATCTTATTTTAATGGCTTTTCTTCCAAACTAAGAGTTGCCAGAATAGTTAGAATGAATAGGAAATATATTGCACGGTAAAAAGATTAAATTAAAATTTATTTATGAAGATGCATTCACTATAGGCGATATTACAAAAAAAACTACCGATATCGCTTTTTGACAAGTGTATATTGCTAAAAAGAATTTGACCTTGTTAAAAGTTTTAATGGACAACTGTAAGGTGTCACACTTAAAGCGGTTTACAGGCTAAGCTGTCTCCGTTAATACTTTTTCCACATGAAAGAGCATACAAATGTAAATTTTAATTTCATTCAGTTTCAATTACGAACTTCAGTCACGTTCGGAGCCAAGTGATTATTCCAATTTGGCAAAAAGAAATAAGCGGTTAAAAAAGAGGGTGGCAAACATGTGGAATTAAATTTTAGACATGATTTGGCAATGAATTACGTATGCAAAAAATATATGCTTAATGATTGTGGCACAATAATTTTATATGACTTATTTTTCGGGTGTGCTTTCACTTTTTTATGAGCAAGCAATTTATGGTAAATGAGATGAGAAAATGAAATAGCATACTTAGTGTTATTTTTACTGTTTTCTGTGTCCGTTTGGCAAGTTTAATGTTCAGCTAAAGTAGAAAAGGCGAACTGTTTAGAAAAGAAGACAGCAAATGGTTTGTTAATGTGATTTTTCAGTTGAGATTGTAAGAGAATGATTTAAAAAAATCGACAACAAATGAGTGCAACTAATTTTATTTAATTTTTTCTAGAGTGAAATTAGAAAAGAAACTGGAAAATATAACTGCTAATAATAAAAAAGTTAGCCTTTGCTATATATTAATGTGACTTTTCAGTTAAGATAGTTAAGTGAGTTCAAAATCAAGTGCTTGTACGGAAAACTTTCTTATTTGACCAATATCTTTGACATAAAATATTGCACAAGACAACGCTACAATTTCTAAATAAATTTTTTAAATCGGGTCACTGTAGCATATATGTAGTTGCCATACAAACCAAACATTCAAAATCAAGTTTTTGAATAGAAGTATTTTTTAATTGTGAATGGTATTCTAGCTTCGGATCAAACGAAGTTAACGTTTCTTCTTGCTCTAAAATAAATATTTATAAAAAGAAACTGATATTTTAATATACTACATATACGGGTATATCAACTTAATTAATTCGAATCTATTAATGGCCGCAAATTTTTTTCACACACACAATCAACCCGTAAATTAGGGCTTACAACTCGTTCACATGTAACTAATTAGCCTTTTTTTAATTATTTCTTTCGAGACGACCTCCTTTTAGAATCAAGTATTTTATCTTCATTTAATATTATTTTCTCCTGCCATTCGCCACACAAATAGCGCGCGATTTGAAGAGTTGCCAATTGCAACTAATTGCTTTGACATTGAAAGCGTTCAGCGAGCAAGCGCATCGAATTATTTCAAATACAGATTGCCAATTGCAGTGAATAAGATAAAAAAATAAACTCCGACGAATTTCAAAATCAACTGCACAAGCAATTAATGGCAATTTAATTTTGAAAAGCCAAGACAATTAAGCGCAACTTTCAAAATGTAATTATAGCGCGAGACTTAATTTAGCATGCAGCAAGTAAATAAGCGCGTTAAGAACGTAGATATGTATATACGTCGCCTACTATGAAGAAGCATAAAGCAAGCTTGGTATAGTAAAAAAATAATAATAAATAAATGTGTGCTTGAATTAGCTATGTAAGCGGAAATAACAGAAATGCTTGTGGCATTAGAAATTCTTTGTGCAGCCACATGTCAAAATACTATTACTTGACAACATACGAATTGACAACGCCGTTGCAATGACAACTGACAATTGTTTTTGTTTTGGGTACAAGCAGGTGACACTTGCTTCTTTTTTATTTTGTTAATGGTGTAGACAAATGCTTACAGCCATACCACTTTGAAAGTACTTGTATTATGAAGATTTACATTGCCTTAATCGCTCAATGCATTACAATTACTTCTTACAACTCGTTGCTTGAGCGCAATCACGTCGTCCGGAAGCGCACATTTTACTAATGTCATAAAATATTCAAAGGAAATATTAAAAAGATATGAACATTAATTTTTAGGTGGCCAAGTTGCGGTTCATCAATTTATTTTCCTCTATTTTTTTTAATCTTAAATACCTTTAATGGTTTACTAACGCATTAGACGCTTGAGCGTCAGTATAGTTGTTCCATAAGTGTTTTATATTCTATACAGCAATATATATAATTACCGTTATTAAGAATTTTTAAGTTTTATGACCAAAACACGGTAGTCAAATTAAGGAAGTGAAAACAGACTTACGATAATATTTTTCTAAGTTATTTAAATTTTTTGATATAATAGACCGCTTCACAGACTTCTACAATTCGTTTTCCCTGAAAAATAGAAAAAATAGCAATTAACAAAAATACAATAAATACGTCTTTGGTAATCGATGGTTAACTGCACAAAGAATGATCAGCAAAAATCGGAAATCTTTAAGTGAGTTATATTTGACGAACCTTGACTTTCCAAAAAGAGTTCAGTAAAATACGGATATATTGATATAAAATAGATATCAATGCCTCCGATGGCATTGGATTTACTAAATGCACAAGTAATTAAAAGATTACTGCTTACTCTTAATAGAGATTTTAGTTTATGGAGTTGGTTTTTAAAATGTATTAAAATTGTTGACCCTGTACACACAAAAACGACCCTGTACACACAAGAACTTAATCAAATAGACGAAATCTTTCGGAAACAACACTGCATGTTATAATTTTTTGGTTAAATAATTATTTTTTGTTTTACATATTTTGAATATCAACACTCAAAAAATCTTTCAGCGTAAACTACACAACAAAGCACAGTAGG